ATGTTTGAGTAGATCGAAATCAAGCTCTAGAGCCAAGCAAAACGAAAGGAAAAAGCAAAATAGCTGAGTAATCAGATTTGCGTTTTGGGATATAATTACGAGGCAAGCCAGGTGAGTGCATTTATTATGTTCTTATATGTTGTGATAGTAATAGATGCATGTTGCTTAATGTATGTATAGTGATTACCAAATGGCACTATATGTGTGCAAAACTAAGAAATCATAATAAGTTTATGAATTTCCGTATGGGCACTGTATGTGCAAAACTAAGAAATTCATAATAAGTTTATGAATTTCCGTATGGGCACCGTGTGTGCAAAACTAAGAAATTCATAATAAGTTTATGAATATCCGTATAGGCACTGTGTGTGCAAAACAAAGAAATTCATAATAAGTTTATGAATTTCAGTATGGGAATTGTATGTGCAAAACTAAGAAATTCATAATAAGTTAATGAATTTTTGTATGGGCACTGTATGTGCAAAACTAAGAAATTCATAATAAGTTTATGAATTTCCGTATGGGCACTGTGTGTGCAAAACTAAGAAATTCATAATAAGTTTATGAATTTCCGTATGGGCACTGTGTGTGCAAAACTAAGAAATTAATAATAAGTTTATGAATTTTTGTATGGGCACTGTGTGTGCAAAACTAAGAAATTCATAATGAGTTTATGAATTTCCGTATTGGCACTGTGTGTGCAAAACTAAGAAAATCATAATAAGTTAATGAATTTCCGTGTGGGCACTGTGTGTGCAAAACTAAGAAATTCATAATAAGTTTATGAATTTCTGTATGGGCACTGTGTGTGCAAAACTAAGAAATTCATAGTAAGTTTATGAATTTTCGTATGGGCACTGTGTGTGCAAAACTAAGAAATTCATAATAAGTTTATGAATTTTCGTATGGGCACTGTGTGTGCAAAACTAAGAAATTCATAATGAGTTTATGAATTTTCGTATTGGCATTAGGTATGCATCCCCACGTAATTCTTAATTATGTAGTGAATTATTGTATTGGCAATACGGGTGCAAACTAAAGAATTTATAATAAAATTAAATAGTTAATTGATATTATGAATAATTATTAGAGTAGGAATGTTCTAAATAAAAGAATAAATGGCTAACTGTGCATTTGGAAGAAATGTGTCAATAATGAAAGTTAGATTAAAGGTTAAATGCCTTTGGATGAAAGAATAAATGTCCAATTGTGCTTTTTGGCAGAAATGTGCCACTAATACAAGTTAAATGAATAACGATGCATTATCGGCATGAAAGGATACTATAAATGAAAAGAATGAATAATTACTAAAGAATAATGGGGGAAATGTATAGAAAGATGGGTATGTAGAACATAATAAGAATCATTACGATGATTGTATGAAAGAAATTTGGTTTAAATGATAGGGATTTATAGATTATATGATTTAGTTAGAAACCAAATAACCATGATATACTTATGTATATACTAACGTTTCTTTACAATATTATGTCTCACTAAGTAAATACTTAACGTGTGTTGATTTCATGCGTAGGTAAAAGCAGAGACTAGTCGAGTAAGGAGTGCAATTGTAGCAGTTGCTATCATCAATCTAAGTTTTACAAATGGGTAAATGTTTTTAAAAGTCATGTGACACCTATGACTTGTGTACGGAAACGTATACTGGAAATGGGTGTTACAGATACTCCTTTGAATATCAATACCAAAAATGACTATTGTAATATGCTAAGTAAACTTGGTATTCATACTACCCTACGAGTATCGATACCTTACATACAATATCAATACCCATTGTATGGGTATCGATACTTCTAACCCAAAATCTCATTGTTTTTAACACCTGAAGAACAATATTGATACTATTCTTTTAGTATCGATACTCATGCCCAGAAATACCCTGTTTTGTGTACGAAAATATCTCTCCAACACTCCCAAATGTCCCACTAAGGTCCCCAAGTGTCATAAGAGTGTTATGTCTTATTATAGGGGGTCAAAATAAGGCTGTAAACATGATGAAGACACCCAAACACTGAAATCCACTATGAACATGCTTCATGACTCATGCAAGCTAACAAAATCACCTAGTGATCTACAATGTGATAGAGATGAGTTAGAAGTGAGTTACCTTGAGTCCTAAGCTATTGGGAGTTCCTTCAACTCAACCAAGGGTGAGCTTTTCCTTTCCTTTGCACTTGGAGCTTTCTCCAACTTCTTTCACTAAGCAAGAAATCAATACAATAGTTACTAATGTGGTTGGGAAGCTTAAAGAAGAGTTTAGAACACCACTTGAGCACAAATCATTCCAAAAACGGGTTGAACAAGCTTAGATTCTAAACCCCCCAGTAAACTTATATTTGCTAACCATGGCCAAAACTTACCATTAAGAGCTTGAATGAAAGGTCAGGAGATGTAGGTTTTATTCCTTACCTTGAAATCTAAAAAATGAAACGATTGCCCAACAATGTTGGCACCTTTGTTGCTTGTTTGAGTGGGAGAATGAAGGATAAAGGAATGACAAGAAGAGACAAAGAAGAGTTAAGAAAAAGAGAGAGAGAGAAAGACTTGAGATCACCCAAATTAATGGGTTTTCAGCCTTTGTAAGAATTTTTGGTATAATAGCTCTCTTAGTCCTCCAAGTTTTAGTCACAAATTAAAAACACCCATTTTTAGCTTACGTTGGGCTCAAACCAAACCCAAAACCATCCCATTTGGGTCATGGCTTTCTTACAAACTAATGGGCTTGTTCTAAAGCCTTATTGGGTTAGCCCAAACTCCTAACCCGGTATTTGAGGCGTTGAACATTTGGTGGATCTATCAGTGACCATTGATGTGTACAAAATGTTGATTTTTTTTCTAACATAAGCAGATAAGTCACGATGAATCGTGGTTATCCTTTGATGAAGAAGCTTCCGTTCTAGTGGCATAATGTCATCATTTTTAATTTTTCCTAGTTATTGAACATTGAACAAATGTATTCGTGAACACTAAATGAAACGAACATGAACACATTTAAATGAATATGACATTAAAAATGTAACCAAACATGAATTATATATATATATAAACATCTTTAAAAATAAATAAACCAATACAAATACAATTTCTTCATGCAATCTCAATTTGTTTACCCCTAATTTTTGGTTTGAACATTTAAGAAAACTGCTCATGTATAATGAAAAATAACACAACCCACAAGAATTGTAGCTTTCTGTAGGAATCTGGAGGAGGAAAGATGAGTGTTGATGGAATGTAAAGCAATAAAGTTTTGAAAATGAAAAGGTTTCTACTTTTCTTTTTCAAATCTCGTCCTTTCAAAATGGAAGGGAACACTCTTTTTATTCAATTTGAGCTTAATTCACAATTTGATACTTCAAGTAACATCATATTTTTCCTAGTCCCTAAAACTTTAACTTGTACTACCTAAACTTTATTTGAAAAAAGTAAAACTTAGGTACCAATTTGACAAGTAACCCTTTAAATTAAATACATTTTTTTTCATTTTATACCTAACTCGAACACAGGAATGTTCTCTTTATTGATATTCTTTTCCTTGCCCTTTTTCCCTTCCTCTTTTCAGTTTTCTCACTATTTTCGTTTCCTTTATGCTACTGCAAATTGAACGTAAAAACTAGATGTGTCAAAACTTTTAATAAAATATTTTCAGATTTAAATAGAGTTTACATAAACTAAATTACATCATAATAATTTAATATTTGATTATAAAACTATTATTGAAATAATTCATTACTTTTATACATCAAAAGGGGTAGACCGGTAGATTTTTCTATACGGTAAAAGAGGTTGACTGGTACATTTTTTGTCAAATTTTATTATTAGTCCCAACCCAACATACAAGTTATAGTTTTATGTCCTTACATATATTTTTTAGAATATTTTTTTATAATCTAGTTATATTTTTCTCATTATAGGATGAGTCAAAATTAAAATTTTTAAATTAAAAAAAAACATAGGTATAATATAGGAGAGGAATGGTGAGCCCAAGGTAACAATGAAGGGGTAAGATAAAAAGAAAAGGGTTCATTGAAGTTGATGGTTAAGCAATGGGAGTTTGAATGGAAGAGGGAGGGGGGATAGGCAGTCCATGATTCTGTATTCTTTCAAAAATGTTGGGGTTGGGGGCATCTTATAAAGTCTAACTTTATTTCCCTTTTTCTCCATCAAATTATTGCTCTACCACTCTCTTTATTCTTCCTTTTTCTCCATCTTGACTTGCATGGTGGACCTTCCCATCCACCATTTCAGATTCTTCACCATTTCCTTCCTCAAATTTTCAAGTTTTTACTTAATGCCATACAAATTTTACTTCTAGCATAAAATTTTGGGTAAATTCACATTTAGCACCCAAACTATCTCTTTTTTTTGTTTTGGTCACCCAATTATTATTGTTTTACTATCATACCTAACATTGCGTTTTGGTTTCATTTTGTTCACCCACCGTTACAAATTAACAAGACTACTGACATGTCATTTTTTATTTATTTTTTCAATGCTAATATGGTTTTATCTTATGGTGACACTTCAACATCAACGTTAATTTTTCAACAGTGAGTGACCAAAATGAAATCAATAATACGTAAGTATGATTTTGAAACAAGAAATAGTTGGATGACCAAAACGAAATAAAAGTGATAGTTGGGTACTAAACGTGTAGTTTACCCTAATATTTACACAATCATGATTTGAACTTGTTATTGTGTCCAAGTGTTTGCTTTGTTACATGTTTATGAATAAAATCAATTTCAGTCATCAATGATTGAGGCCAACGAAAGCTGCAGCCTCCTAGAATATGACCCTGTAGGTAAATATGGAACGATTGGCTTGCTAATTTTCAAGAAAAATACTAATATGGAATTCACCAAAAAATGACACATAAGGAACGGTTTGCGGACATATTTTCTTCTTTTTTTGAAAAGGAATGAACAATTCCTTTTCTGTATAAATACCAAATCTCATAGTGTGTCTACTGACTGCATTTCTTTTTCCTTTTCTCTCTCAACTCTCTGTTTTGTGCATCCTTATTTTCCTGCAACAAAAATGGGGGCTCTCGATTATATTTCAAACTTTTGCACTGTATCCGATGGAAGGAGCAAACGCAAGCCAATGCAGGTACCTTTCACTTCTTTGAATGAACAATTAAAGATATAAAAACCACCTGGAAAACCCTAGTTTCCTAATAAATCTTGTGCTAACTCTTTTAGAATTGCACAGACAGTTGAAATCAAGGTTAAAATGGACTGTGACGGGTGTGAAAGAAGAGTCAGAAAAGCTGTTACCAACATGAAAGGTCCAATTCCAACCCCCCCTTTTCTTTTCATAAGCATCTCTTTTACACGTACTTATTTCTGGCCATTAGTTATATGTTGTCAACATCACAGGTGTAAAAAGTGTCGAAGTGGTCCGGAAACAGAGCCGGGTAACGGTGACCGGAAACTTGGATCCGAACTGGGTGTTGAAGAGGGTGAAGAGCACGGGGAAGAGGGCGGAGTTCTGGCCTTATATACCACAGCATGTGGCCTTGTATCCGTACGCAACGGGGGCGTATGACAAAAGGGCACCGGCGGGATATATAAGGAACGTGGTGCAAGCTTATCCGGCTCCTTCTTCCAACGCCCCCGAAGAGAAGTTCGCTTCCTTCTTTAGCGATGACAACGTTCATGCATGCTCTATCATGTAGAGCTGTTCATGCAGGGTGGGTTTTTTACCACCATCTGCTGTTTATACTTTTAACGGTTTCGGTACAACTGTTCATTGACAAATATATATAGAAAGAGACTTCAATTCACTCATTACCCATCTAAAAGTTTAAATGTTTTATACATACATATACGTATTAGTTAAAGGGTAAACTACTCCAATGGTCACTAATGTTTGGGTAAGTTTTCGTTTTCACCACTAATGTTTCAAAAGTCACAAATCGATCACTAACGTTATCGTTTGTTATAAATTGGCCACTCGCCGTTAACAAACGTGACGGAAAACACACGTGAACTGTTAACAGCCGTTAACAGGATTACATGGATGGTATAATTACACAAATAATCCATGTTAATTATATATTCTTTCAATTTGATTCTAGTTTTAATAATGACTTTTCCTCCTCAAAATATCTCACTTAAAAAACCAAGTAATTAATCACACTTAATTGGGAAAACACCGACTTTTCCATATTTTTATTCTTCAAATCTAAAATCACTACAATAATTCAAAACAGAACCTACATGTACAAACTAATTATTTGGATTAGAAAATAACAGCCTAAAACTTAAGTAACACTGCATTACATTTCTGTTTTCCCCGTTATTCCTCTCATTTTGGCAACTTCAGTTCAATGAGCCATTCTTTTGCTCTGGGGAAGGACAATCTGTTTCGGCTCATCGCTTCTTTTCAAGTACTTTTTTGAACCAGTAGGCAGACATCTTTGGGTACCTCCGGAGGTTGATGCGGTCAACATAAACAATGCCGAACCTCGACGTGTATCCTAACAACCATTCGAAGTTATCCAGCAATGACCATGCAAAATAGCCGGTCACATTTGCTCCTTCATCCATAGCTTTCTTCAACTGAGTCATGTAATCCTTGAAAAACTCTATCCTTGTGGTGTCCTTCAATCCATTTGCTAGTGTAGCGTTCCCTGGATCATCCATGCCTATTACAGTTTTCACCAATCTTCAGTTCGTTTCCAAATCATTACATCCCTTCTTTGTACAAGAATAAAAATATACTATAATGCAATAATTGTAAACTATGTGTGTGTATATATATTGGCAATACGTACCATTTTCGGAGATAAATATATTTACATCCCCATACCGCTCTTTCAAATAAGTCACAGTTTTGTACATGCCCCAAGGTACAATATAAAGCCACCAAGAATTTGCCTGCAAATTTTTAAAAGTGTATAGTTACTTCAATAGAAGGGAATATGGCTATGTTTCCATTTAATATGAAAAAAGGGCTAAAATCGAAGGAAATACTGTTGGTTATAACTCGTAATCCTATTGAAATTACCTTTGGACCAATTTGCACTCCGTTCTTTGCATCTGCAGATGGTGAACACAATGTAAAACATTGGTTTCATGTATTAAAATAAAATCATAAAGCATTAGCTAAAATCTGTTCACCAGGGAGGACTTACTAGCAAAGGCTGCATTCCAATCATTCTGGTAGCTTGTGACGTTTGGTTTAGGCCCTTCAGGATTAGAAATATAGCTTGTAGTATATTGGTTGATGCCTACATAATCCGCTGAGCCATTCACCATCTTAATCTCTTCCTCGGTAAACTTTGGCAATCTTTCTCCGACAATTTCTTGCATCGTTCTTGGATACTCACCATATCGAATGGGATGTAGAAACCTATCCAGAATGTGAAATAACATTTAAGACTTTCTAAACTACACAAGACAGCTTCTGATCTTGTTCAGGTTAAAAGGTTTGGCGTATAATTATGTGCAAAATCAAGATAATACAGTGATAATTTTCCTACAACAGAAATCTAGAATAGAATTTATGATCTAAGCTTGAGACATACCAGCCAACATGAAAATCTCTAGCTCTTTGAGCTGCATAGTTATCGGCCTTTGATCTTGTAAGAGGTTCATACCAATTAAAATCCAAGAGAATTCCAATCCTCCCTTTCTGCTTTTCCTGAAGATGCAATCCAGTTCCAGGTCAATTTATAATCCTCAAGATCATCACAATCAATTATGTTAAATATCATGGTGAATATTATATGCGGATAACCTGCTTATTTGTCTCTAAAATGGAGACATTAACTGACCTGGAAGTTTTGACGATATCTTTTCACTGCTTCAGCATGGCATAAGAGTAAATTATGGGCAGCAATGTAAGGCTCATTTGCGGAGTTTCCAGCAGTACAATTTGCAACTTCCTTAGAGCACCTTGAAGGAGGATTGAGACCATTATCAAAACCAAGAGCAGCCACAATCCTAGGTTCATTAAATGTAAACCAGTTCTTGACTCTATCACCAAATGTCTTGAAGCAAAACTCTGCATAATTCGCATAATCCTCCCTGAAATATTTGAATCACAAATTAAGTACTAAACATTTGAGACAAATTTTCCAAGAATACAGGATTACGGGGATAATGAGATCATCCAATAACGAGAACCTCAAGAAAAGGAAAGAAAAAATGTTCTGCTTACACAATTTGGCGGTTCAAGTAACCACCATACTTTTCCTGAAGAGCTAGAGGGAGATCATAATGGTTTAAGTTCCCGTAGGGAGTAATGCCTACAAAAGGAATGAATCAGCAGAGGTTTTCATTTCATAGAGAAAGCTTTTAAAGCGTTTCATACGGATCATAATCACTGTGTAAACCATGTCATGAAGTATTTCGAAGGCACAAGTGCACAAGATGGACGCATGATTTTTACTAGGGGGCGAACTTATACTATTTTAGGGAACAAGAACAAATTATCAAGATTTGAGGATGAAACATAAACCCAACATTCCATTTGCTCAACATTCCAGGATACTGGCAATCATAGCAAAACAAATTGAAAATTGGTGTCAAGCAATGGGAATTCATTTCATTCACCTTTCTTAACCATGTAGTCGATCAATCTATTGTAATAAGCAACTCCCTCCCAATTTATTCTTCCAACTCCCTCTACAAAACATATAAATAACTCAAAGAGTTAATTTAAACTACAATAATTTAATAATCAAATGAATTTAATAAAGCAACAGTTTAAAAAAAAAAGAACAATAACTGAAACAATTGAGCCAATGGTGCAAATACCAGGAAAGATCCTTGACCATGAAATAGAAAACCGGTAAGCATCGAAGTTGAATTTCGCCAGTAAATCTATATCTTCCTGAAATATAGCGGGGCATGGATTCACAGAATTACATGTTAATATTAATTAGATCATTGAAAACAAAATTTAAAGTGAAGACGGAAACCTTGTAGCGGTGATACTGATCCACAGCCACGTCAGCCGTATCATTATTGGCAATGTGGCCTGTTCCAACAACAAAAACCCATAAATAATGACGCGATTCATTAAAATTAGTAAAATACTATAATTAATTTATATTTTTTTCTCTGTAGATCTAGACATCCCAGGAACAATCTCTTGAGAGTTGAGCTGATCGGAAAACGGAAATGACATATTTTTTTCTCCAGAAATTATAGTTAAAAAGAAGAGATACAGAGGTATTAGTAGTGGTATTACCTGGTTGTTTGACATAAACATCCCAGATGCAGGGGCCTCGGCCGCCCTGACCTGTCATCCCTTCAACTTGATAAGCAGAAGTAGCAGTTCCAAATACAAATCCCTTGGGGAAGCTTTCTCTGCTAAGCCCACCGGTGTCGCTCACTGTCTCCAAATTTCGGTGCTGCCTACCTGCATTTGCAATGCACAGAATCGCAGTAAAAGCATAACACAATAGCCACGCCTTCATCACTGTAAACCTCACTTCACTCCCAAAATCAAAGAAACAACAGAGTCTATGATTGAGGTTGAGAAAATGGATACCGCTATTTATAGATATGATTTTTTTTTTCATTTTTAAAAAAAGTAGGAAATTTGTTTTCATCTATACGGATCCCAATTTACTTGGCCTAAGATTTTTTAATTATTTTTCCATATTTTATATTTATTTAAAATTATCTTTGTCATTTTCAAGTACTATTATTTAATGTTTATATAATTTGTTGGGGGAAATTATAGGTTAAACTCATTGTGGAATATTATTTAGGAAAATCATATTCCTGAGTTTAATAACATATAATTTTAGTTTAGGTATATCTGAATTTAGTTTAATTAAATTAAAAGGTAATATGTTGAAAATTTTAAATTTTAACTAAAAGTAGCAATATAACCTTAAAGAAATTAATGATTTAGTTGAAAAATTAAATCTAAACTGAATTGACTAGAATCAAATTAACTTTTATCTGTTTGGATTTTCGTTTGACTCATTTATTTTTGTAAAACATATTTAAACTGTATTATTTAGTTTTTCACTATTTTTTAAATATGTATTTATTTTATAGAATATAAAACTAACAAAATAATTGTTATGAGTGATTCAAAAATAATAATTCAAAATAAAAATAATTCAATTTGAATAATTAAAATGTTCAGACTTATGAATCTAGAACAAAAAATCAAATTGATTTTTCTATATTTTTTATTCAAAAATAATCTGAACTTATAATTTCGTTCTCTTTAAGGATTTTTTTTATTGATATGGGGTAAGTACAAGGCAATATTTAATTAAAAGATAATTCTCAACCTCTTGACATTGAAAGCTTACATCGCTAGTATTTTTGGTGCTCGAACCTTAAAGAACAACAATTTTTTTTTATCATTAAGACCACTTTTCGTGCTCTGTAAAGATTTTTTAATATTCATTTGGAAAGTATAATTGCCCTAATATTTGATAGAAATTGCAAACATCCTTGATGATTCGGAAGATACCCTCTCTCTTAAAAATTAACATTCTGTAAAACAAATGTCTTTATATATCATTTTAAATATTAATAATCTTATATTTATACAATAACAACAGAGAATTATTAAATAAACTTTATTTCGATATTTATTTATTTAAAAAATTGTCAAATATATTTTACAATGACATTTCTCTTCATTATTAGAGACATTAAAAATTATGGAAGATAAATAAATTTTATTTTATAAAAATGAAATATATATACATATATATATATATATGACGGGGTACACATGATTCTCTCCACTCGCAAATTCCAAGAAGAGAAAACAAACAACCCAAACGACAAATTAGTCCTAAAATATCGCATTAGTCTGCAAATAAATCAATAAAAAGGAAATTAATCTCCGCTGAATTTTGCATTCATTTGGCGTACGTTGTCCCTCAGGGAATCTTAACAATGGATTACTTGACTTGTGATTTCATCTTTTTTCTTTGAATATTGAGTATTGAAGTTTCAATTCATAGAAGCAGCTAAACACTACTATCATAAAAATCCCAATACTGATGAATATTGGAGTTTAATCTACGTAAACCTTCCCGGTTACACCGGCACAACATGACCCAGAATTCTGTTTAACAGCTCATGTCTAGGCCAAGCCAACATCTTAGTAGTTCCATGTATTCTTGCACCACTTTTCCCCCGAATGAACTTCTAAAATCACTTAAAAAAGAGGACTTTAACTTTCCTCTGCGGTTGATTACTCCAGCATTTACCTTCCATATCGATAGACAAGCACACGAAATATAGAGACTAGCATGAAGCAATAGTACCTATGCTCCGTGAGATTGCATTTCTGAAGGATCTATTAGACCTTCTAATACAACAAGCTGATCCAGTAGGGCAAACTTTTCATCTTCAAGAGCCTTGACCTCATCTTCAACTTCTTTAACCTCTTTACCCAATGTGAAGCTTTCTTCCTCCAGTAGCAAATACTTGCGCCTCAGCACGCGGTACTCGTTTCCAGATGTAGAAGAGTCTGGTAATGAATCCGAGTTAGATCTCTCAGGTTGCTGAAATATTGGAAACATTTCACTCTTCGAGTTCCTCTTTGATGTCTTTTTCCCTGTTTTTAATGGAAGGGATCCCTGTACCTGCTGATCCCCTTTAATAGTATTTCTTTCTGACAGAAACAGGGGTCCTTTGTTAGCGGAGCTTTTCTTTTTCCGCATCTTAGGATTCAAATCTTCCTCTGATGGTGGCATCCTTGGATCTTGCATTCTCGCTGCTGAAAACAACACAATGATTAAAGTATTAGCAGATTAGTCTTTTTTCTCTATAGCTGCTGAGAATCATGTATGCAAATGCAAGCACAACTTTAAATATCCTCACAGATAAACACATGGTTTTTGCATGCTTAACACGATAAAAATCTCGGCAAGAATAGTACTAATCATAAACAATTTTAGATACACAGATGATGAAACATACAAAATCGTACTTATCTAAAGGTTACCACAAATCATACATGATCAGTTTATGCATATCCTACTATTATCCAACTCATCTCTAAATCCACTTTCAACTTTAGAGCTGGATACGCAGAAGCAACAACGCATGACGAAAAGCTGCTGTTAATGCCCTATATCCTATCTATCCAGAATCAGAAAACGATTAAAGTCAAATTGTCTCATCTTCCTACTAAGTGACCCCTACTGTCGAGGTTTAAGGATGATTCAAAGTTTAAACTAATATCGTAGTCACCAAGGGAGCATTTGGAACAGTTAAAAGCCGATACAGATAAGGTTCAAAGATAGAGCAACTAAAAAACAGGAACTATTTACATAAACAGCCCAGATTTAATCAATTACAAATGGAACCTTACAATCACTTGAGTAAACATCCAAATTACGCATGCAAATCCCGATTTCCAAACTCTCCAATTACAAGAAATAAAACCTAACCATCTGTTCTTCGTAACCAGCACTGTTTAGAACAAAACAGATCCCCATAATTCAAAATAAACGAAACATCATGTTGCTTACAAACAGGAAATTAACATTTACGCCCTAAATTTTCAGGTAAAATAGAACACATACTGCAGGAACATGTGAATTTGAAAACAGTTTTTGATCATCTAGAATCTATAATCTAAAATAGAAATTAATCAAAGGGAATAATGAATGAGAGAAACTTCACCTTGGGAAAAAGAGGACGGAGTTTGGGTTCAGAAAAAAATGGGATTGGCTTAATAATCGAAGGAAGGGGAATTGGGTAGGCTTTGAAATCGAGGGTTTTGACTTTTGATTGGGGGAATAGAAAAGAATACAGGAAAGAGAATATGGAGAAAGATTGGAGTAGGAAACAATAAAACCTTGTATTGCGACGACTGTTCATCCCCTCTGTGATGTATTTGGTGATGTCTTGTTTTACCAGTTTTTTTTTTACCTGTAGGGGGTCGGGTGACCGGTTCGAAAACTGTATTTGGACATAAATATTACGGTCCGTTTAGTCTTGTTTTTTTAATCATTTATATCTAACCCAACTTAAATTCAATAATTATAAAAAGCTATTTAAATTCAACTGTACTTGAAGATATTTGATTTTTAACCACATAATTATATTATATTGATAACTCTAATAATTAAATATTAACAGTATAAATAATTATAAAAAAAATATGTAAAATTATATTAGTTTTGCGCTAATAATTACAAACTCTAGATACAAGTAGACCATTTCAAAGGTTGGGAGTCCAAGTCTCAAGGTCCAGCTAATAATTAGATGGATTGATGTAAAAATATTAAAATTAAAAAAATAAATTTGGAGAAAACATGAGGTCAATTTAAAAAATGAATTAGGCCATTCAAATTCGAGTTTGATCCAATTTAGCTTTCAACTTATATAATACTCCATATCATAAATATTTTAATCTATATCACGTAAATACTTTTTTTACCTAAACAAGAAAACAAATTCTACATTATGGATGTGGTGTTATTCAAACATTGGACATAACATAAAACTCGGTAAACTGGTCGACATAATATGTTTGAAAAAATTATCCAAATAACCCAACAGCAAGATTATTTTCCCAACTAAAACGTTTGTTACAGTGAAAGCCAAAGAAGCCAGGTTATTCATGCAGCTTTAAAACATTTCATGTCTACGATGCATCTTCAAGCATATTGGTAAAGTCTCCAGGATTTCTTGGCGTCAATATGAAGTTTTCATGCCCTGCTAATCAAGTTCTCGTGTCCTGTATACGTGCACAACCAGATTTGTATAAAAATATTATTTCAGCTACATATATATATGTTATCTGATTGAAGAATGAAAAATTAGAAAAGATTAAAAAGAGCAATTAGAAGAGGAGCATTTGAAAAAAGGTATAACAAAATTTTCTTTCATTATTTTCAGTAAGTATTTTTCTAATTATTTATATAATTTTTTTTTTATATTTTACCATATACTATTCTGTTAAATAATATTGTTTTGTTCTTTTGCAAATTAAACGGTGAGTGAGAAGTTGTTTCGAATGTTTTTTAAGTCAAGTTGTAGGAAGAAGTTCTCAAGTAAGTATAAAGAGATTTTATTTGAAGTATTTTATGATTTATTGTTATGTTAATATATATCAATTTTGTAATATTTTTAGTTTTATTTTACTTTTTAAATTATTATTATAATTTTTTAATAGTATTGATTTACTATTTATAGTAAAAATGTTAAAACAATTATATATATATATATCTAAATAATAGAAAAATATTATAAGAAAAATGTATGTATTTTTCATTTTATATATATATATATACTCTTATGAAGAGAAAATGAGCAACAATTTCTTCACGTATAATGGATAAATTATGTAAAATGAGGTTGATGTTGTTTTTAGTCTGAAAGGCATATAAATATGATGTTTGAAAGAGGCATCACATTTATAAAACTGAAGGAGATGATAAAAAGAAAAATCTAAGCTATAATTGATAATTTGAGGTACAGGTTTATGGTATGTCCCCATGCAATCAGATATAGTGTAGCACCACTTGAAGAAGAATATGATATTAGAACCATGATTTATTTGTTGAGGTGCACAAGATATTTGATGTTCCTAGGTTATCAAGAAATGTGGTTGGAAATTCATCTCAAATTGATTTTATAAGTGAGTTTGAAAACCCAACATATAGGTCGATAAACACTTTTATGACATTATTTAAAAGTGCAAATGAAGCTGATGTGACATCTACATCGGCAGACTATGTAGATGTCGTAACCGTCTTTCGGTTGGGTCCCGGAATTGGGCTTCAACTTGAAAAATGTAGATTGGAGTCGCCACCGACCATTTTAAAATGAATTTAGGTCGGTCGGACACCATCTTACCTGATCTGCGTTTTTACCAGAAATGTATCAGGTTCGGGAGTCGGTTACGGTCAAGGAAGGATTAACACCCTTGAACCGCCCTTTCGGTACCAATTAATTTATCGGTTGTCTTAGTTGCGAAAATTCAAAATTTAAATTTAAATTTAACAGACCCGATTCAAATTACTTACAATTGATTGATTTGAATACCCTTAAAAGATAAAAACGTTAGATTCGTAGCGGAGTATAAAATCGAATTAAGATAGCAAGTGTGCAAACGTGAGAATAATAAATAAAATAAGAAAAAATGGAAAATAACAAAACACGTAAAAAATAATAATAAAATAATAAAAATAAACAAAATGAATAAAATGTTAGAAAACAAAGACACAGATAAAGGAAAAAATTAATGGAGTAAAAAAATAAAAAAAGTAAAAGAAATTAAAAATGAATAAAAATGATGTGTACATATAAAATAGTATTTACTAAAACAAATAAAAATAATAAATATATAATACTAAGTAAAACAAATAAAAAATAAAGATATACATGAAATTAAGAAAAAAATAAAGTAAAAATATAATATATATAAATAAATAAAAATAAAAATAGAATATTAAGAAAATATATATAAAAACGTATAAAATATAATATTAAGAAAAAATATATACATAGTAAATGGAGAAAAATTAATACATCTATACATATATATATATAATGATATAAGATATATATAATGAAAATAATATAATATAAATAAAAATAGAAAATTAAGAAAATATATATAAAAACGTATAAAATATAATATTAAGAAAAAATATATACATAGTAAATGGAGAAAAATTAATATATATATATATATATATATATATATATATGATATAAGATATATATAATGAAAATAATATAATATAAATAAAAAAAGAGGAATATAGTAAATAAATAAAAATATAATTAAAAATATATATAGGGGGACGAAATTAATATAAAAGTAAAATTAAAGGTAAATTTCAAGGTAAATTAAAGATTAAGATTGACTTAGGGGGAATATTAAATACTTTAAAAAAAATGAACATGCCTCAAGAGTAGATCTAGGTTCGAAACTTCGAAACCTCATCCCTTTTTGGTCATCGGCGCAACCCACACTTTGGGTTATTCAAACCAAATCTCAAGAAAAATAACATGCACATGCGAGAAATGAACGAATCAATGTAAAAAAAGATGCTACCTTTTATTTCCTTTTCGAATCGTTTACAATAGTTTTGCCTTTGTATTTTCCGTGCTTTCCTCTGTATTTTGTATGTAAATCCTCGTGTTACTAATGGGGAGGATTACATGTATTTATAGTGAAAAAAACTAACTATTTTTAGAATCGATAGAATCCTAATGCAACTAGACTCCTTGCTCGGTTGTTGCACGTTTGTTGGTGTGGTTGTTGCTTTAAAAGATATGGTGGTGGAAGAGTCCTCTTAGGAGATGAACTCTTGCTAGTTCTATCTTTTAAGAAAATGGGTGTCTACAGCTGCCCCTCTTTGTCCTTTTTCGTGGAACAAAAAATAGGACAAAGATAAAAAGAAACAAATTTTCGTTCAGTGAAGTTGAAGAATAACTCCATGTCGAATTGAGTTGTGGATGGCTCCTCCGTCGCGAAGTCGAGTCCATCTTGAAATGATTTGAATCAGAATGTGGCTTCTCGTTGTAGACCACTTTGGTCTTCTTCTCGGTTTAAAGACCTTGGCTAAAAATTTGACTGAAAAGTAATCCCTTAACTCCATAATGTGGTTGATATGCTCTCGAGCTGAATGAAACCGAACTCGAAAATACTGACGGAAAAAAGGCTTCTTACTACTAAGGCACGACTAACCCCGGTCCTCTTCTCGGCTTGAAAACCTCAATTGCAGCCGGACAAAAGTATGATTGAGGTGTCATCGAGCTGAATGGAATCGAACTCGATAATTTTTGTTGATAGATAGCCCTTCTTGCCTTGAGCTATGCTGTAAATTTGATTTACCTCTGAGTTGAATGTAATCGAACTCGAAGGTCTTCGGTGATAGATAACCCTTCTTTGAGTTGGATATTCTTCGCCATGAAGTTGAAATCCAATCTAGAGATGGATGTTGCTTGTGTGCACGATTCCCCTTCGTCGTGAAGTTGAAACAGCGAGTGGCCCCTTCGTCGTGAAGTTGAGCCTTGTAATTGGATATCCTTCATCGTGAAGTTGAAATCCAAGTGGGTAGTATTGTTTCGAGTCCAATATCCTCCGTCGTGAAGTTGAAATTGGATCTGGAACTGGGAAATTATTTGTTGACAGTCAGCCGCCCCTTCGCTGTGAAGTTGAGCTTGTGTTGTCTCGAGTTCAATATCATTCGCTGTGAAGTTGAAATTGACTCTGAATGAAACTGAAAAGTTATTTGTTGACAATCAGTCGCCCCTTCATTGTGAAGTTGAGCTTGTGTTGTCTTGAGTCCAATATTCCTCGCTGTGAATTTGAAATTGGCTCTGAAACTGGAAAGCCCCTTCGTCGTGAAGTTGAGCCTCAAATGGCACGATATCCTCCATCGTGGAGTTGAAATCGTGGATGTGCGTGTACGATATCCTCCGTCGTGGAGTTGAAATCGCGGGTGGCTCCTTCGTCGTGAAGTTGAGCCTTGACTTGAATATCCTTCATCGTGAAGTTGACATCCAAGTATTGTATGTTGCGGGTGGACACGATTCCCTTCGCCGTGAAGTTGAAAAGGTGGATGACCCCTTTATTGTGAAGTTTGGCTTCGAGTTAGATATTCTCCGTCGTGAAGTTGAAATCTACTTTCGAGCAAATTGTGTCGCTTTGAGTTCAATATCCTTCACCGCGAAGTTGAAATTGACTCTAGCTAAAACCTGAAAAAGTTATGCATATATGTGATGCTATGGATGCAATGCTCTTAGGTGTGCCTAAAATGCATATGCAACATATGTTATCTTGGGGCTCTTGAGAGAAATCTCGATCTCCGATTGCCTGTCTGGAATCTTGATTCTTGAATC